GAGAAATCAATCCAGCAGCTGCTAGATGATGCAAAGAAGAATAACATAAGACTGATTGGAGTCCATGAAAAAACAGGAGAAAGTACAATTGACATAAAAAAATTGTTCACAGAAGTAATAGTAGAAAACTTCCCATACAGAGGTGGACAATTGGACATACAGATAAGTGAGGCATATAAAACTCCAAATAGCCACAATCAAAAAAAATCTACACCTAGACATATAATAGTCAAGATCCCAGAAACTGAACAGAAGAACAAAATCCTATAAGCAGTTAGAGAAAAGAAAAATCACCTACAAAAGAAAGCCCATCAGAATTACAGCAGACTTCTCAACATAAACACTTAAATCAAGGAGAGCCTGGAGCAAAGTATTTCAAGCCCTAAAAGAAAATAACTTCCAACCTAGAATGTTGTATCCTGCAAAATTATCTTTCAAAATCGATGGGAAAATTAGATAATTCCATGACAAAGAACACCTGAGAAATTTCATAAACACCAAACCAGCACTCCAAACAATTCTAAGCAATATCATAGAAAAAGACAATGAAGTTCACAACTCCATGAGGCCCAACAGAGGGAAGCCACCAGGCAAGGTAGGACACTAAAGGGAAAGGGGGAAAAATAAGAAATAAAAGAGTCAACAAAAGTAAAACATCATGACAAGGATGAATCAATATCTAACAATTATAACTATCAATGTTAATGGCCTCAATTCACCAATCAAAAGAAATAGAGTGACAGATTGGATTAAGAAGCAAAATCCAGCAATATGCTGTATACAAGAAACACACCTAACTCAACAGCAAATTCATAGACTGAAAGTAAAAGGATGGAAAACAGTTCCCCCTGTCACAGGAACCCAGAAACGAGCAGGGGTAGCAATCTTATTTGCAGACAAAGTAGATTTCAAACCAAAACTAATTAAAAGAAACAAAGATGGTCACTACATCCTTGTGAAGGGATCAATCCAAGAGGAAGAGATGACAATCCTAAATATATATGCACCAAATAAGAATGCCCCCAACTATACAAAACAAATATTAATGGACATGAAAAACCAAATAAGCACTAATACAATTGTAGTGGGGGACCTCAATATCCCACTATCACAAATAGACAGATCATCCAGACAAAAAATTAAAAATGAAATTCTAGAACTGAACCAAGCTATTGAACAAATGGACTTAATAGATGTTTACAGAGTGCTTCATCCCACAAAATTAGAATACACATTCTTTTGGCTGCACATGGGTCATTCTCCAAAATAGATCACATGCTAGCTTATACGACATGTTTAAGTAAATGTAAAAGAACTGATGTTACACACTGTGTATTACCAGAGCATAGTCCAATAAAATTGGAAATCAATAGCAAGAAACCATAAAACTCCCACAAACACTTGGAAATTGAATAACACCCTTCTGAACAACCAATGGGTTACAGAGGAAATTAAAGAAGAAATTAGACAGTTTCTGAAAGTAAATGATAATACCAGTAAAACATACAGGAATCTATGGGACACAACAAAAGCAGTTCTAGGTGGGAAATTCATAGCAATGAATGCCCATATTAGGAAAACAGAGAATTCAGATAAATAACCTAATGCAGAACTTCAAGCTCCTACAAAAAGAAGACCACAACAAACCCAAAGCTCCTACAAGAGAGGAAATTATAAGGATTAGAGCAGAAATCAATACAATGGAGACTAAGACAACAATACAAAAAAATCAATGAATCAAAGAGTTGGATTTTTGAAAGAATAAATAAAATCAATAAACCTTTAGCCAATCTTATCAAAAAAAGGAAAGAAAAGGCTCAAATCCATGCAAATAAGAATGAAAAAGGTGAAGTCACAACAGACCCAGCAGAAATCAAGAGGATTGTCAATACCTACTTTGAGAACCTATGCTCTAATAAAATGGAAAACACAGAAGAAATGGACATATTCCTAGATACATATGAATTGCCAAAGTTAAATGAAGAAGATATAGAAATTCTAAACA